GGGGACATCCCCCGGTGTCCCCTCCCTGCTGTGACACCGCGGGGACAGCCCCCAGTGTCCCTTTTCTGCTGTGACATCCTGTGGGGACATCCCCCGGTGTCCCCTCCCTGCTGTGACACCGTGTGGGGACACCCCGATCTGTCCCTGCCAGTCGTGCCCCGAGCCTTGGGGACAGCGCGGGGACAGGGGACACGCGCCCATTGTCACCCTGGCGCTCACAGCAGGACACGGCAATGTGGCCCCGCTGTCCCTTGTCACCCAGTGGGCGCCATCCCCGCTGTCCCCTCCCTGGTGGCAGTGTCACCTCCCTGGTGGCAGTCACAGGCAGTGACCGAAGCCACCTCTGGTGACAATACGGTGCCACCACCTTCCCCCCCCCATTGTCCCCGCAGGTGACAATAAAAATCACATCCCCCCACCCGTGTGTGGCCTGTCATTGTCCCACCCCAGGGGACACCGGGGGGGGTCACAGCCACCCTGTGGGGACAATCCCGCTGTCCCCACGCGCAGTGACACTGAGCCAGCACGGTGTCACTCGGCGGGTTTATTGCGCGGGGGTGGCCTCGCGTCACCGTCCCCGCAGTGTCACCGCCACGGCGGTGTCCCCAGGTGTCGCTCGTTGTCCCCAGGTGTCGCCAGGTGTCACTCGGTGTCCCCGTGGCGCTGCCGGAGCCGTTTCTGGCGCTGCAGCAGGCGCCGCTCGCGCTCGAACTCCTTCATGCGCATCACGTAGCTGGGGACAAGGTGGCACCGTGTCACCGCCGTGTCACCGCCGTGTCACCGCCGTGTCACCGCCGACAGCGCGGGCAGGCGGCTGGGGGTGGCACCGCGGTGTCCCCGAGCCCCTCCCACATCCCCCATGTCCCTGTCACGCCCCTGCTGTCCCCACCCCTGTCCCTGTGTCCCCCGTTCCTGTCACCCCGTGTCCCCGCTGCGTCCCCGAACTCCCCTGTGCTCGTCCCCTCATGTCCCCACGATGTCCCCGTGTCCTACTCCTCGTGCTGGCAGCTGTCCCAGCCGTGTCCCCCCGATGTCCCCATGTCCCCACGATGTCCCCACAATACCCCCATGTCCCCGTGTCCTACTCCTCGTGCTGGCAGCTGTCCCCACATGTCCCCATGATGTCACCCCATATCTCCCCAATGTCCCCACGATGTCCCCGTGTCCTACTCCTCGTGCTGGCAGCTGTCCCAGCCGTGTCCCCCCGATGTCCCCATGTCCCCACGATGTCCCCATATCCCCATGATGTCCCCCCGATGTCCCCGTGTCCCCCCGATGTCCCCCTGATGTCCCCGTGTCCTACTCCTGGTGCTGGCAGCTGTCCCAG